CGAGGCCTGGCTGGCTCCCCGGCCCAGTCATTTTACGTCTCTGTGCACTGGCCGAGGCCTCACTTCAGCTCCCCGTTTGTTAAAACTGCTTCGTACTTTGGCTTTGGAAGGGAAATGCAGTCAGTGACAGAAGCCAGCGGTAAGAAGAATGCGGACCGTGGGGAGGTCTTGCCTTGCGGGTTACGCTACGAAAAGGAATTCTCTCCCCGGTGCCAATGTGAACCGCAGTCAAAGAGAGAGAATCCGGGTCCCGACTGTGCCTGTCAGTGATCGTTTTCAGATACAGCTTAACCACTGAAAACCGGTATTCCTGAGATCGGGAGACCACCTTAAAGACTAACGGTAAAGAGTAAAAAATTAAACTTATCCAGCCCGGCCGGCGTGGCTCAGTGGTTGAGTGTCGATCTATGAACCAGGAGGTCACGGTTCGATTCCCGGTCAGGGCACACGCCCGGGTTGCGGGCTCGATCCCCAGTGCGGGGCGCGTAGGAGGCAGCTGATCCATGATCCTCTCTCGTCACTGATGTTTCTATCTCTCTCTCCTTCTCCCTTTCTCTCTGAAATCAATAAAAATAGATTTTTTGAAAACTAAATAGATCTAAACTATCGTCGTCTAAACTCCATGAGCAGCCTTCTCCTACTGACACCTGTCCCCCAGGTGCTGACCCGACCCTGGGCTTCGGTTAGGACCACGTCTAAACTCCATGAGCAGCCTTCTCCTACTGACACCGTCCCCCAGGTGCTGACATCGGGGGCCCCGAGAGGACCTTTCTGCGTCGGCCCCACCTCAGAGGCGTACACTCTTGGGCGGATATTTAGGATGGAAACCAACGTCCCCTAAAATGCTCAAAGCTCGGAATATCGGGGGAGAAAGATATGGCACTGTCAGCGACATAAATGAAGTTTCATCTCTTAAAACATGAAGGGTCTTCTAGATACTCCCCTGGAAGCATGAACAAAGTTAAAAATTCCGCATTTGGCTTCTAAATCAAGAACAGAACTTGAGAGCCCTCGCCACTTTAAAAACACACACACACACACACATACACGCGCACACGCACACGCACACAGACTGGAGGGAGCGTCTATTCTCAATAGCCTCCTTCTCATTTTTGCTTTCTCATTAAATAAGGCAGCTCCCTGGGTAGAAGTCCCCTCGGCTTAAAAGGCAGAACTGCTTTACAGCTAAATGACGGATCAAACCCCGGCCAGTCACAGTGATTCATCTCATCGTGAAATGCTTGTGTTGAAAGGCTCCCCTCCCTCCCAGCCAGTGGCTGCACAGTCATTGGAGATTAAGATTCCCTCGTAGGCAGTAAGGATGTATTAAACATGACAGGAGCCTAATGACTCGGCTACGGAGGAAGCCAGACGCTGACCTCCCATTTCATTCATGACCACCCCGCTGGCTCGCTCGGCGGGCGACGGGGGAGCCGGTACCTTCTTGATGGTGTTGTGCTTGCTGCTGGTGCCGCCCCGGTCGGCGTTCTCGTTGTGCAGAATGTCCAGGGCCGTCTCCCTCTCTTTGAGTTTCAAGGCCTCGATCTCGGTCTTGAGTTCATTGAGCTGCTCCTGCAGGTGCTTGCTCTTCTCCATGTACTCCACTCTGCGGGGACAGGACGCCGCGCGTCATGGCCCGGGCGTAGCTAGGGGTTGAGACGCTCCAGACCTACAAGCCGCTCGGCATGGGACCCGGGGTCTGCAGCCCCGGGGGCTGGGGCGGGGGAACTCATGTCTCTCCTTGGCCACTCACAGGCCATGGGAGCTTGGGCCAGTCACTGAACTGGCCTGAATCTGTTTCCTCGTCCGTAATATTGGGGTAACGATTGCGGGGCTGTGGTCAGAATTAAATAAAAGGAAGTGTAGGAGCCCGGCCGGCGTGGCTCAGTGGTTGAGCGTCGACCTATGAACCAGGAGGTCACGGTTCGATTCCCGGGGTCAGGGCACGTGCCCCGGGGTGCGGGCTCCATCCCCAGTGTGGGGCACGCAGGAGGCAGCTGATCAACGATTCTCTCTTCTCGTTGATGTTTCTCTCTCTCCCGCTCCCTTCCTCTCTGAAATCGATAAAAATATAAAAAAAAAACCAAAAAAAACAAACATGGAATGTCGCAGATTTGAGCCTCCAGAGAACACAACCAGGAAACGTGTTCTACTACCACGTCAGCTCATTATCACGCCCTCGGTTACCATGGGAACAGCTCTCTGGCCGGCTCGGAGGTCCCTGGTAGCCCCGCCCCAGACGTTAGGTGAGGTTTCGAGCCACTGCAATCCCCAGGCCACCAATCGAGTATCATTTTTATCCTGGAAGATGGAATGCTGGCCTGTCGTCCTTCATTTCTGATTAGGAACTTCTTCCTCTAGGTGGTGAGGACAGAGCAAACCTCGGCAGGCAGCTCGCTCCGCTCCGGGGAGGGGGAGACTACGTACTTTTCTTTCTCTATTTCCATGGAAAGTCGCTTCATGTCAGTATCCTTGAAGTCGAAAGACAGGCTGTCGCCGATGAGGTTGAAGCTTGACATGTCAGGAGGCAACGGCGCTGGAATTGGGTTGATGGGCTATAAACGAGAATCTCCGGTTAGGAGGTCCGGGCTCTACACGAGCCGAGGGCACTGC